TTTGCGCGCTCAAGTTCGTTATTTCAAATGTAGGCGCTCGGCAAGCGCGCTCATAATTGAAGCGACGCGCTCATTTTTTCCAGGCACAGTATGTTTGTACTTCGCGGGTGTCTATGACAACAAACCCACCGTAAGCTGTCACGAGACTATCTATGGTAGCCCATAAGGGAAATTTTTTTTTTTTAACGCGGCACACGCAACGACGGGGGGAAATAGGGGGCCACAAAATGCCGCGAGTTTGAGACCACTGATCTACATGAAACGCCATGGTGCTCAAAACTACACAACAGGATTTCTTGTCATCTGTCGTCGTCTTGTCTTACCAAAGCTCATACTACACAACACAATGCCAATGGTGCACAAACAACAAGATATTTGGCCAAGTGGCAACCCCGAACAACGTGTTCTCATACAAATTCACATTTAGATTAGAGAGCTGCTTATGTTCGCTGTCCAAGTCAAAAAAGATGACAAAAAAGAAAATTGGTCCCTGGCTAACCCTGGCTGTCCATGTCTGTTTAGCAAAAACTGATGGTAAATAAAATATATCATAATGTTAAAGTATAGTGCAAAGACTACTTATTTACATTTTAAAAATATATTTTTATTAGTATAAAATTATTATGATCAAATTGTTGCCTTGCATTCATGTGCATTAAGGTGCATGATATCATTAGAGCAGTTTACCATATTGTCTCATCGTTCGCACTACAAGATCACGTGGCGATAATATCAAACAGGTTAGAACTGCTCGAGACATGCTCGACTCGTATTTGACGAGCACCGATTTGGCCACGATTCAAGGGTTTTGTCACAGACCTTGGAAATCTCGCTGCGACAGCAAAATCCAGCCAAAAGTTGTGTAGTGTGAGCCTGCCTTAAGCCTACTCTCGTCGACTAACATTTAGTCGACTATTAGTGGGCAGCCCTAGTAATTATTAACTAAAGTCATTCCAAATCTGTACTTTCTTCTTTGGAACAAAAGATGTTAAGAACAATTAACAACATTGGCCCACACCGACTTAACATCGTATTGACATCAACTTAAAAAATAAAAAAAAATCTTCCATGTCCCAAGTCCCATATATCTTTGGAATGACGTGAATGGGAGACCTATACCTTTAAGTTGTTAAAAGACTGGGAGACCCTCAGCATTACCTCAAACCTAAGGCTTAAAAAAAAAATTTGTTTGGTTCCGGTTTCCGACCGACCCTGTCAATTTATGTGCGACCCAAATTTATTTTATGAGCTTGGGGAAGAAATAATAAAAATTAAATAAATACACAAATAAAAAACTTTGAGGCGAACTATAATTTACGTTTTTGTACAGCACGCGATGCAAGATGCCATCTGTTGTCCTCCAGCAAAACAAACGAGGCAGCTACATGGTCGTTCACACATCGTTCGTCAAACTGAACTATAATACATATAGGCTACAAGTTTTTTTTGTTTTTTTTTTGTCATTAAGGACACTTTTATTCATATACGCAGTACGCACACATACAAATGCATGCATTCATAGGCACGCACACACCACATGATGAGTTACAACTTACAGAGTAACCTCCATCCGCCTCCCAAGTTTCATTAAAAATCATCCCAAATCCCAATACCCTCTTCTGCTGTCTACCACTTCTTTCGCCATGTATTTGTTCGTTTCTTTTATTATTTTATGCAATCCAAAACACTCTAACCTGCCGCGCTTCGTATCTCCAGAGCCCGTCTAACTTGTCCGCGACAAATGGATTTTTGAAGGACAAGTAAAAGAGAATTTTACTTGCCCGAACGGACAAGTAGCCTGATTAGAACATCAATAACAAACAAACAAATAACTAGGGAATCACTAAACCGAGAGAATGATTTTATTACATTTATTGTAAGTTGCGATCGATTGTGGATAATAAATGCATTAGCCTGCTGACGGTGAGGTGCGCTGTTGACGCTCGCGCAGCCTCTCGAGGAGAAATCTACACACATGAGCGCAGCACACATACACACACTCAGTTAACAACATACTGCCTATAAACAAATCTAAATGTGGAGTTTCTATATTTTAACATATGTGTTAAGCAGCCTCAATTATTTTTCCTGAATACCATATCACAATGTGACATTGATTTCCTACAACAGTTCAATAAACAGTTACAATTAAGTCACTTACATTTTAGATGAAATATTGGCTGTTTTTGTTCTGTTTCTGCAGCGAAAATAGTTCCAAACAAAAATCACAGCAGAACCACGGCGCATCTCACAGGAACACTCAACCTGTTTTCATTACTGAATGATTCAGCATTTTGACCGAATCGGTTGAGTCAAAGATTCAATGACCCATTCATTAACATCTGTCTCATTCTTGAATGAATCAACCGTTTAAACGAATCGTTTGAATTAATGAATCAATGACTCACTCATTAATACGGCCGCCTGCCGCCACCTATTGGCAGTTTAGTGTTATGTTTATAAGTAGCCTAGTATACTTCTTTCCGATGTTTCTTATTTGTACATTTAAATCAATTTCATAACATTATTTTATGCAATTGTAATTTTTCAGTGTAAATTATTTAATTTGATCAGCCCTACTTAGGGTAACAGTATGCTTCATCTTTCATTTTAAATTCCTAAATTTGATCAATAAATTCAATTATTTAGAATAAGACGACACTATAGGGCATTTAATAAGATTGGGGGAGGGGATGCCCTTCAAAGGTGCAGATATTACAATATGCCAATTTAAATATCAAAGCTGATTGAACACTGATGAGAACATTGCTTCAGAATAAATAAATTAAAAAATTTTAAAAAATCCGGACAAGCAACTTTTTTACTCTGACAAGTGAATGACAGATTTACTTGTTCGGAGGGCAAGCACATGAAAAGGCTTAAAGGTTCTCTAAGCGATCCTGGGTGACATCACTTCTTGTTGACGTTCGAACTATTGTCAAACAAAACGGAGGCTAGCTAGACCCTCCCTCCTCCTCATCCGCACACTAACCCCCCAAACCCCGCCCCCAAACCCTTCTTGTCGGTCATTGGCTGGAACAGTTTGTTATGTTTCGGGGAGCGGGTCGCCGCAGTTTGCTTTTGTTGCTGTTTGTGGAGCCTGGGCTGTCTACAGAGATCGCGTTTCTTTACAGTGTGTTCAGAGGACAGGCAGCCAGCGGTTAGTGAGGAGATGTTTGCTGTATGTGACAAAAAATGTTTTGGCCTAAAAAACGCGTGACATCGCTTAGAGCACCTTTAAGGCCGAGCCCTGAATAATTTCCTACCTATCCCTTGCTGCTGCCACTAAAAAAAAAAAAAAAAAAAAAAAAAAAAAAAAAAAAAAAAAAAAAATCCCTACCGACCCATGACCTCAACTGCCAACAAACCGGAACCAAACTTTTTTTTTTTTTATGCCTAACCCTGACCTCCTCTTCAGTCAAGCAACTCCCCACAGAGCAACCATTACCACGTCAGACATTAACTTCAAGAGAGAGAACAGAGTGGCTTTGTGGAGACATCTGAGAAAGAAGTTATCGTTCCAATCCAGATTCCTTCAGCTCTGGTGGAAGGACAGGAGGCTGCTACTTCAAAACAACATCTCAGTTTCAAAGACACTGAAAGCAATTTGAAGCAGCCAGACTTACCTGTCCCTTGGAAAGGAATTGATCAAATAGCCACAAACATGCATTCGGTGTAAAATTAATTTCTCCCATGCTTGTCTTTTTAAGTTTTAAAATAAATCACATCACTTCCCCATACCAAAATAAATTCACAGAACAGAGCTTATAAAGCAATGTGGCAGGATGATGGGTAACTTTGGCTTTTAAAACGTGGCTTTTAGTGTAATATCTGTAATATTCTTGATCAAATAAACAAAGTTTAAAAACAAACGCTTTAACTGTCATTATATGATATGGTTAGCAGAGAAGTATATCATTAAGGCCAGTGTAAACCTATGTTCATAAAAATATCGGCCCATAAACGGTTTGACATACTAAGCATATAAATCCAATATTTAGTTTTTTTAATCAGTAATTGAATCTTTAATATCAACAAATGAGTAGATTTAAACAAATCGCACCTAACAACATAAAAGTAGGCTAACTTATTAAACAGTTAGTAACGTACATTAAAAAGTTACATAATAAATTGCATTAAAACTTTAAATAACCATTCACGTAAAGGAAATAAATATTTTTTAACATAAGCTTGTGATAATGTCGAACGCAAAAACATTTGCATACAAATAATATAGGCTAATGATAGTTTTTAAAGTTTGGAGTTTCATTTATAATGCCATCAAAAAGTAGTAACTTTAGGCTACAACAACTAACGTTAGGCTAGCCTATGGGTTTAAACCATTTCAGTATATCGGTTAAGGGTCAAGAGATCCAAGATGCAAAATAATCTGTATCTTGTGTTTTATTTGATAAAAATCGACCGATAAGACAACATTACATAAGCATATTTTAAGGATTCTTAATTGTTCGATAAATATTTGTCTCATCCAACGCAACGTGTCGATGTGAACGCGCGCGAATGGTGGCGCGCTTTACCTGAGGTGAATCTTTTGCTCCTCTCTAAAAAAAAAGAAAAAGAATCCAACATCCCTGAAAACCAGCGTGGCGGTTCAACGCCACTTAAGTTACAGAAGACCGCGATGACGACTTAAATATCGACCATAGAGACGTTTCATCGTACAGTTACGAAAGGTCGGTTATTTGTTATCCATCCACATTTCCATGAAAAATCCCATTCCAGCTGTGCTTAAGTTTACTATTGTTCTCCGCCTGACGCAAGAAAGACGCGACAGTTCCTTATAAAACAACTTAAAGGCACTAGTTAACCACTAATTGTCTTGTTATTTGAAAAATATGCGTATAAACTTCTCACAACGCAACCGATAAATCAGATAACTAACGTTATTTGCTGTGTGTGAGCAAGATGTCACCAAAAATCCGTTGGCCGAGTCACTGTCGAAAATCAGTCAGTTGAAAAGCGGGAGAGAGAAAACATACCTCGTTTAGTAGATTTCCACACTTTTCCTCAGCTACGTCCTTCGAAAGTGTTTGTACGAGAGCCTGAAATATCACCACATCTCAGCTATCTTTGACGATAAAAGACACACTCTTTTTTTTAACCCATTCGGAGTATGGCTGGATGTGAGTCCTCCCCTCACGCCGTCGGGGTTCATATAGCGTGAGTAGGACAAAGACTCCCGAAAATGCTTTGCTCCCGCCTTCGTCTCCGCACCCCACCCCCTTTCAGGATTGAGTATGAAATCTGTCTGATCATGCTTTCACCGATTTTTTAAAAATATATATATCTCATACCCTCTATCACATCCTTGATTTGCATCTCATCACATATTTTGGATAAATGTAAAAAATAAATAAATAAAATTAACAAATTCCACTTAGCACATTACTGCGGAGCCCCTAACTGGACATGGTGAAGGAAAAATATGAGATGGAGGAAAAAATATTTGGCTGTATCCAAAATCGCATACCTGCTATAGTTGGTGAAACATAATAAAAGAGTAGGCAAAAAATGCCCAGATGACCTACTTCTTCCGGCGAGATTTTGAGGTGTGCATTATACAATGGACACTTTACTATCCCATGAGGCCAAGGGAAACAAGGATTTTGGATTGGCAGTGAAACGATGTAACTGCTGGTTGGTCACATGATAATGACAACATGGCGAATGTAGTATGCCCAGATTACATACTATAGCCTACACACTCATACTATATAGGAGTGTAGAATAGTATACTTTTTTAACGGTCATGAAGTAATTACTTATTATAAGTACCTACTCAAGCGATTTCGGACGCAGCTTCTGTCGATACTTTTGTGTTCTCTCGCAAATGTTTTGCGTTCCACAGAGAAACTTTACGTTCCCTTGCGAAAACTTTTGCGTTCTGCAGAGAAACTTTGCGTTTGCTCGGAAATAGCTCAAAAGCGTTGTTTTGCGAGTGAACGGAATGTTTCTCAGGAGAACGCAAAACGTTTTGCGAGGTAACGCAAAGTTTCTCGGTGGAGCGCAAAGGTTTTTCAAGCGAACGTAAAGTTTCTCAGGGGAACGCAAAACATTTGCGAGAGAACGCAAAACCATTGACTTATTTTTTTTCCCCTGCCATCTCATTTCCCACCACCATGTCCCTTTACGGGCTCCGTACATTACAGTGACAGAAATTTGCTTAAGTGGCAACATTTGCCAACATTGATTTTTTTTTTTTTTTTTCAGTTTCTGGTTCATTAGGGAATTTTTTTCTAACCATATAAAGTCATATCCATTAATCGATACTGAGGTATTGATACTTTCATCAATTAATTAATTTCATCAAATAATTAAGATTGATCCTTATGCCAATATCAGTTCTAAGTGTTCTGTTTTTTAAACTATTTTATTAGCCTATTTATTTAGCATGTAAATGGATTTATATCATAAAACTTGAAGGTACAAAACTTGACTTTTATGAGGTGGCAGTTTTGTATGAATTTGTGCGATGTGATTAGTAAGAAGAAGAAGCGTCACAAAAAAATGAATTTATTAATAGCACAACGTTTTGACCATCAGGTCTTCATCAGGCACACATTGTGAAAATAAGCTATTAACAATATAAAGCTATTGTGTATTTTCAGTGTGCGGACTTTACGCCTCTTTTTTTCGTTTATGTTACTTTGTTGTCCTGCACCTGAGCCCAATCTGGGTGTTTGGGATGTTCACTCCAGTTTTGTATTTTTGATTAGTACGATTTTTAACAGATCATACAAAAACGTACAAATAACATTGTACGACTTAGCCACCAATTTGCAGAAACGTAAAATAGTTACAAATTGCCATAAGAGTGTGTTGAGTATTCAGATTATTTTCGATAATCAAATTAAGGAACTACCTAACCTTGATTAAAATGTTTACATGACTTGGGAAAATATATTTTTTTGTGTTCCATAGAAGAAAGGAAGTCAAACAGGTTTGCAATGATGTAAGGGTGAGTTAATGAATATAACATTTTTATTTTGGGGTGAACTATCCCATCAATCGCAGTACTGTCTTAATCACATTACAAGGGTGTATTTCAACATAGCCAGTATCAGGCGTTGTACAGGATTGCATTTTGGTGACTATATATTTTACAGGTCCTAACTGTGTCAGTGTTTAAAAAATGAGTCATTGAAAAACTCAAATTGTTTGAAAAATGTTCCGTTGCTTGCTACGTTTATTTCAATGAACCATTGTTAATGTGGGTTTTTTTTTTTCAACGATATTGCATGCAGTTTTTCATGTATTGTCATTCTTCCTTTTTCCTCTTAAGTTTTACTGGATTTCATTTTAGATTTTTGCTTCCCTCTTCACTTTGGCCCAGACAATAAACAAAACTGAAAATATAGATCTGGACGATAAATCACGGCTGTTTCAATATGATTATTTGTTCCGTCAGTTAGTCATGACAAATGATTATGGAACAACTTACTCATCCCACTATTCATTTTCTCAATGCATGTTATGTACAAGGAAGACATTTACTGTCAATCCTTACAAACAATTCCATTTTTTTTTACATTTATTTAATACATTTGAAACCCTGTTTATAGAAAGGAAGGAGGAAAAGAAATATCTTTAAAAGCATTGCCTGAATGTAACGTGTCATTGTATGTAACCAACAGCTTTCCCTTTTCCTGCCGAGGATGGTGCTCGGAAGTTGTTGTTATTGAAGATCTTTCCTCCATTGCGTTTTCCACAGGATGAGGCTTTAAGGGGGGCTTCCCTTTCTGAGTTCTGGGTATGTTTTTAACAGATCAACACATATTCAATTCTACCAAGTGTGATTTGATAAGACGTATAGTTGCCTGTAATCTTCAATTACAACTTTATGTAGAAACAGTGCACCCAACTTTCGAAGACTTTTGCTACGGTTTCCGGGTTGAACGTCATGTTTCCTGGAAACGGCGTGCACCGGTGTGCAACGGGGTTTGAGATACGTTTTCTCTTGTTTGGTGGGTGTGTCAGAACTGCAGTCCAATCAGCAGCAACATGTATATAAAGCACGCGGTATTAAAGTGAACTCGCACAATGGGTTCAAGGAAAGTAATTTACAAATGTGTTCGATGCAACTCGGTATACGCAACAACTGAGGATATTAGAAGACATGTTTGTCGTAAGTTTTATTGTAAAAATATAGGATATCAACATAATGATGTAGTTGTTTATATTTTTAGCTTCATTGCAAGTGTATGACATTTGGTATAGAAATAAACAATGGTAATTAAGTGCTTTTCCTAAAAATGAGAAAGAAAATACAGGGTATTAAAACAGTGAATTACAAATAAAGTCAGTATGTGAGGCTAAATAGATGTGTTTTAGTCTGAATTAGGTAAGATGTGTGCTTCCATTACAGTTTCAGCAATCCCTTCACTCGATTGGGATGTTCTCTTGTGTTCTGGGCGGCAAGTGCAGTAACTGTAACATCGGGCATATTTTGTAGTATTAAACATTTATACCGAATAAATCAGGCTCCGAAAATTCTTCACAAAGAACACAAAGAATGGCCTTTCTCAGCTGCCATAGTTGCAACTCTTGAGTCATCAGAACAGTGTGTTCAACGCATCACCGTTTCTGTTTAAAAAACATTGTGCAACGTTTTGTCGGGGCTGAACGCAGCCCTGCTGTGGCTTCTGGCAGCATTAACCAATCAGATGAACAAATGCAGACAATTTACATTTGTAAGGCAATGTGAGGGATGCTCGTTTAATGCACTATTTTCATCTTTATCTTTGCAGAAAAACTACAGAAATATATTTAAAACACAAAAAAAAACTCAACTTCATACTTTTTATCCCAGTGCCATACCAACAGAATGACTGAGACTGAGCTAATTGCTCATCACAAACTAACAACATTCAAGAAATAATTATCCCTAAACAATATGTCAAGCCTTTTATTGCGCCTTTGTCATAATATTCTCTACGCTATGCATCCGTTTCTGTTAACTATAGACCAGCGGTAATTTTACAGAAGATTCTTTGGCTCAGGGACCTTTTTTCTTTTGCCAGAGCAATTAAGAAATCTATTTCAAACAAGTCTCTTAAAGTGCTGGGTCATAGAAGAATCTGATAGCCTGCCAGTCAGATAAATGCAACTGTCTAATGTGGTTTGTTTCATGGTATTTTTACTGCTAACCACAACGCTTTTGACAATAAAACAAACTTCCATATTCGAAACATGTGCGGATCTAATCACTTGCATCCTAAAGTGAACCTCCACTGCAGTTTTTCCCAGAGGTTGGTTATTATTTAATAAACACAAATGGCCTAAAACACCTTAAGTTGCAGTCGCCATTCAATGCTAGTAATTAACTAATGCCATAAACATACACACAGTTGTTAGAGCTTCATTTACAGTTCTGCAGGGAAGTGAAATAGGTGCCAACTGCCGTAATGTTTACCACCTGTGTTGTTAAGCCTAATTTGTGCTTTACCAACTACCGCTTACTTTACTGTAACATAAAATACTTTTACCCTCCGTCTTACACCTGTAATTTTTCTGATTTGAAAATTTCTTATTGTCTTCTTAAAATCAGAATTATGATTTTTTTTAAGTAATCCACTCCTGAATTGATGAGTGTTTTCCACTTTGACATTGGGATTGTAATTGTAATTGAAGTTGCTTTTATTTTTTTCAGTGGAACACAAGGATAAATTTTGAAGAACCCTTTGTGTGGGGATCAAACTAAAATGTAAGTATTTATTCACTAATGATCTTCCATTCTGCCACAATCTCGTTTGTATTTAAATTCAGGTTTATAAAATGCACATGGATTCACCAGGGTTGCGGTCATTGATGTAAGATTGCATTGGTTTGAGAGGTGAAGATATATATAAATGCCAACCTAAAAGTTCTATATTGTTTTTCTTTAGAAGACTTTGAAGTTGATGGGATGAATGGTTTTTAATGTTTTTTTTTCTGTCCTTTTTAGAGCTTGTCAGGTCAATGAACTGTCATACCTTGTGTGTTAGATGGAAACAATAACATGATTTTGGAATGGGGGTGAGTAAACATTTTATTTTTGAGCAAACTATTCCTTTAACCGAACAAAAGAATGTTAACATACTCATTAAGCTCTAAAACAGAAAAGAAG